GCTTGTTTGCCTACAAGCCTTTAAGACCCCAGACGCAATGTCTTTTGATAGTCTTTTGACACCATCAGCTTTCTTCACCACATTTGCTTATGCACACGTCTGTCTTCAGCGATCAAGTCGGGAAGGTAGGCATCATGAAATGACCATTTAGCTGAGCAGGGTGCTCTTGTATTAAGGGAATGTGCACGAGGAGGCCCAATGTCCACCTGCCACTCTACTACTAAACCTATAAATATTTGCACCTAGGTCCATCTCCCCCATAATCTTAAATATATTTACATATGTACATGTCTGTATTTAGGCTTCTGTGTATGCCCTTTGCCTCCTACTCCTTTCCTCTATTTCCTTATGCTTTCCTCCTGTCCCATTACCATGTTTAGCCTTCATTCTGGTTTCGGTAATTCCTCTCTGTTACCTTGCCCTTGGTCACTCCCTACCAGTCCTCCCATCCCCTCCACCATTTCTCTTTTAAAAGTGGCTGGAGGGCACACAACATCCTTCATAGGCCACACCAGAATGCGTTTATAATATTGTCTACTCCCCTCCGCCCCACTCTGTTTTGCTTAGTTATTATTGTTAGTTTGTTTTGATGGTGGTTTGGGGGTATGTTTTTCTGTATATGAAATCCAGGATAGGGAAATATATAGAGACAGTAACTGGATTAATGATTTCTTGGGTTATAGCAGGGGAGGGGGGGGGATAAATAAACCAATAATGAGTACAAGAAAGAAGAAAATATTCCAAAAATTGATTCTAAAACTTGTTAATATGATTGGAGTATTGGCCTATATGATTTGTGGATTATGTGCCAATAAAACTTTTAAAATAAATAACATATTCATTGTTGAAGATACAGTTAGGTTATAAGTTAGCACCCTATCATTTGATCTTCCTTATGATCCATTTATAAGTAAGGAAGACTGAGAAGAATCAATGCATTTGAATTGTGGTGCTATAAAAGAAAATTGAAAGTACCGTTTTGAAAGAAGCATTGCCAGAATGCTCCTTAGGGACAAGGATGGTGAGACTTCATCTTATATACTGTGGACATGTTGTCAGGAGAGACCAGTCATCTTTGGTAAACTAGACTGGCTATGGAGCACAGGAAGGCCCTCAACGAGGTAGACTGGCATAGTGCCTGCAACAGTGGGCTCAAGCCCAGGAACAATTGTGAGAATGGCACAGAAAAGAGTAATACTTCATTCTGTTGTACATTCTGTTCTTTCCTTTCTCTTTGGTTTTGTGTTTTACTTTGTTAGGTTTTTTTTTAAATGTGTTTTCTGTAAATGAACTCCAGCAAAGGTAAATCGATAGCGACAGTAATTGGCTTAATGGTTCCTTGGCGGTGTGGCCGGGGTGGCTGGGGGATATAGGGAGCTAATAACAGTGAGTACACAAATGAAGAACATGTTACAAAAATTATTGTGATGACTTTACAATTTTTAAAAATTTAATCATTTTATTGGGAGCT